TCTCGGTTTAACGCCTACTTCTTGTATTCGTTACTACTAAACTGAACGTAGCTGTTTCACTGAGCATGAAGAACAAAGCTCAAGCATTCGACACGGCTCGCAAACCTCCTCCTTGTTTCCCTTCGCGGTCGAAAGCGCTGCGGTTGAGCATGTGCACTCGCTTTAAGCGATTCATCGAAACTAGTCGGTAACGAGCCAGGCTGATAATACTCCGCTCGAAATGCCGGCTGTCGGCTTTGATCGCTGCACCTGAGTCGTGTTATGCGCGCACGGACGGCGAAACAGACTTCACCCACTCGGATTTTATTCGAAACGAGAAACTCTTGAGCCATTTCATTGCATCCTCCTCTCGGTAGGTGTGGAAGAAGCGAATGTTCAATCCTGGGATGGCACCGAAAACCAAATACAAACAGACTACATGTTACCAAACACTGGCGCAAACAGCTTATATATTGCACCCAGTTGCTTCGCTGTTTGCAATCTCGGAGCTGATGATGAAATTTCTCGGCGACCAAGTTTGAATATTCCGGCAAAAAGAATAAGCTAGAATATGCATTCCCAAATCGATTTAGACGAGGCTCGTGGATTTTTGGTCGCACTTGCCATGCGAGCTTCATTCTCCTCTCGTGTCAGACTCGAAACATCAATAAGTTTCATCAGACACAAGCCACATGACTCCTCATCGAAAGTTTGCATAGCAAAATATGATACCGGAGATATCTCATTCCTGCATCGTAGATTTTCGTGGCGGCTTGCCCACTCCTGAGCTGTCGCGACCCCAAATTTCACACATACTGTACCCGAAACAGAGCACATTGAGGGCTTTTCTGCCAAGCAGCAGGTATCTGCCATGGCTTTCAACTTCATGGAACCATTCGCACAACGACTGCCTGAGACAGGACTCTGATGTTCCACTCGAAACTTAAACACTTCAGCTTGGTTTAGAAAAGGCGCATGGCCACAGCGGTCGGTGCCAGCAAATCGTCATCTCGAGGCCAGTTTCCGTTTTGCTGCAACCACTGCCCGAATTGTCGACCCTCCACAACCGTTCGGTTGACAGCTCGTTGCAAACAATCTGCCAGCCAGAATGCTATCACTCTTCCGTTGTACCCTTTATGGGCCATGATAGCCCCCTTCTTTTCCTTCCATACCTTGGCCAAACAACACTGCACATTACACACGATTAAAAATGAGTCAACCGACTGGGGTCATACTTGGGGCAAGGCTCGAAATTCGGAACGAATTTCGTTTGAGAGCAGCGAATACCAGTAGACCGCTGAAAGCTTTTGAAATCTTTGAATGCCACCACGAGCAGCTTGTGAAGGGTCGTAGTCTCGTGGCATCCGAAATAACCGTTCTCGATCAAATACATCCTTTACTTGTTGGTTTGTTTCTATTTCGCATCAAAAGAAATCGACACTGAACAACACGATTGTGCTAACAAGCAGCAGCGTGGAACCCGTAGCATCCTGGCAAATGCCCAAGTTCACATTGTGAAGGGAGCAGTGGCACAGCATCGTCATGTGGAACATCGGCAGGCCAATGAGCGGGCCTAAACCAAGACCAACAAACGATGACACTAGCTCAACCTTAGTGGATTGCATGTTCTGCCAAGAAGCATACCCATTCATTGCCGACAACATCCAGGATAAAATCATTATGCGACAACTCAGTTGTTGACCAGGAAGGTTCGTCGGATACATCCAAATATGAATGCTCTGCGTTTTCGTGGTTCTCTGCCAAGCATCGCCAGCAAATAAACCGACATTTCCACCAGCGGGTCAAACTGAAGGTTTGTTGCATATACTCCCAATCACCCTTTACTTCCGTGACGACGAACTTGTGTGGCAATTGCTTCCCTTCCGGGGAAATACCATTGAAAGCATACTTCAATGATTGAACCACAGCAAGATAAAGCGGATTGTGGGATTTGGGTCCCAGGCTCAAATCAGCTTTCAAAGTCCACAACAGCCATTGGCTCATTCTTGTGCTCTTGGGTCTCCACAGCACTAAGCTCATCCAACACCCCGTCACCTTGCTCTGGTCGTACCCTTGCCCGTACCTCGCAGAGTCCCCGTAAATACTCAAAGGCATGTGCGATCCATCAAAGTCATCTGGGGCAGCCCAAGCATAGACTTTTTTGCAGTGGGCCCAGTAGCGCTTCAGAACATGAGGTTGGATATGCACACCCACTGTATTGAAAATGTAAGTCAGAATCAGATGAGGCAGTAGCACAGGAATAGACACCGTCGCCTCGTCCAAGGAATCTTCTTTCTTTCTGATGACGGTTTCAACCATCACAGGAGTCTGTCAGGGCGCTTCAAACAAATCGAACCAAGGACTATTGAAATCATATCGGCAAGACCCGTAGTAATTTCCCGAAGTGACAACTACAGCTTGTTTCCTACCCCAATCTTTCGCAACACCGACCACAGGGAGTCGCACGGCGGTTGCAAAGTCTCGGGCATTGTTGTGGCCACTATAGGAACCAAGCTTCCGAATCGAAGCCGGCAGAGAATCTCTACCATCCTTAGATTCAGTGTTGGAACCCCAGTGTTGACACTTGCACAAATCCGACATCGTGGGCCGCGAACTCATGCACGAAGGCATTCAAGGCTCTTGGAGGGCGCCTTTGGCACTTCGCATCTCTTTTCCGATCGTTGAGGCCTGATATGCAATATGGCTCACGGGAAGGACTTTCATCAAACGAAAATGGAACACTCACAAACTGACTTGTACTTTTGCAGACAAGCAACAGCTCCAGCCACACTATCAATCATCTCATCGAAGAGTTCAGAATGCTGTATCTCATTGGCACCTGCGACAACAGTGTGCAGGCACTTGGTTACTAAGATTTCAAGACTTAGAGGCAACTTGCACCAAGCAGCAGGCCTACAAACCTTTTGCGCATCAGGCAGCCCGCCAGCTCACACCAAGAGCGACTAGTATACACGAAAGAGTTTCCCACCCTCGTCCGTGCGGTGCACCTAATGTGCTACCCAGCAGGTTCCTCGCATCGAGAGCAGAAGCTCGAGCACTTTGTGGTGTTACAACCTTTTGTTGAACACCTTGATAACCCCTGCATGCGTGAACCGGATCTGCAATCATCCACAAAACCATTGAAGATGAACCCCGGAACTTTACGTTTGGCTTTTCCAGATTTGAAGAGTTTCAATCAGATCCAAAGGTCCAGATGCATGACCCCATCTACTTGTCTCACTTGGAGCCCTTTGGCTTCTTCAAATGAAGCGTATGCTCAGCTTCATCCAAGGCGGTCTTGGCGTGGAGCGTCTTCTCCGTTATCATGTCATCCTGAAAAGAACATGTAGGAACCACCAAAACGAAGAATGTGAATTTCCGCCATGAAACATAACAGTCGATACATGTCCTTGTCGGCATCCACGGCTTGCTGCAACTTTGCCCGGGCATTCATCAGCTTTTTAGCCGACTGCTCCAAGTCCTTTGCCAGGGCCTCCTTGAGGTTGTGGCTCCTGCAGAATCTTTCGCAACTAGTGAACAGATAACCAGCAACACCAACTTTCAAATCACTCAATACTGCGATCTCAGGGCAGGACAGACTCTGCAGATCCTCAGAATCCTTCCTGCGGTTCAAAGCTTTGATCTTGCTGCTCAGCATGTTCAGCACCTGGGCTTGTTCGAAAGTTTCGGCATGGTTGACATGCAACACAACAACTGCATAGACTTCGAGACGAAATCCCAACCTTCTTGGCTTCCAATCCGATCTTTCGTGCTGCCTCCTTCTCCTCGTCCTCCCCATCCTTGTTATTCCCCTTGCCCTTTCTCTTGCCCTTGCCCTTGTTTTTTTTTCGCTTGTCCTTCTTGTTTTTTTTTGACTTCTTGTCCTTCTTGGACTTCTTGTCTTTCTTCTTCGACTTCTTCTTCTTCTTAGACCCGGAGTCCTACAACGGTTTCCAACTGAAGGCTTCTTGGGTTGCGACACTGTATCATTGAAACAAAATCAGTCCTCGGACGACGACGAGGCATCCGACTTTGAGCTTTCATCCGAGCTGGAAGCTGAGCTGTCTTCCGCTTGGAACAAATCATCGATTTCGACAGACTCAGCAGCCATCTCTGTATCCTCGACGAGGACAAGGTACTGCGTCAAACCTCCCGGCATGTAGGCAAGTAAACACAGAATCCTAGAACGATTGCGAAACAAATGCGTTGAATTCTTTCCAGCCTGGGCATTCCGGGTGGTCGCGGCACTCGGACTTCAAAAGCTCTGGGTCGCTTTCCTTCCTGACGATGATCGAGTCGACCAGTTTCTGGTCGTTGTCGAAGTACTGCAGCATCTGCCGGCGGGTCAACCACTTTCTGCATGCATGTGATCCACTGCTTCTCTTGCGGCGGATCGACTTCATAATCACACCGTTCTTCCAGTTTCCTCCGGTTGCAACGAAATCCTCGTAGAGCGTGCTCATGGAAGATTTGCCTAGTACGAGAACAGCAAAGGATACATTTCATATCAAGGGCATACAAACTAATCAAGACAGCATGAACCGCATCTGCTGAGCCCAAAGCAGTACTTGAACCTGTCGAATGCCTTCTTGATATCCGTTGGGGTCTCTCGGCCTTAGTATATACGTATAGTAACACACACATTAACCATAATTCCGAGTACATGCAAAAACACAAGTCTTATCGTTAGTCGTGTCTCAGGCAGCAGCTTTGAATCGACCTCCAGAACCTCATGTAAAGCTTGTGTGCAACCTTCTTCTTGCTTTTCATCAGCTCGGCTTTCGCGGGCGCTTCGGGGTCTTTTGGGCTTTCGGCTGCTTGTGTACTCGGGGACTTCTTCGGGCTGGGGGTTTCCTTTGGGCTGGCACTCTTCTTGGGGCTCGGCTTGGGGGGCTTGGTTCTTCGATCGGGGCTCTGCGGAGGAGCTGCTTCCTTGGAGCTGCGGGCTGTGGCATGGTCCTTTCTGGTAGTGCTGTTGGCCTCACTTGCTGAGTCCGGCTCGGCTGTGGTTGTTTTTGCTTTGGCTTTGGCTTTTGCTTGTTTTTTTGCTGCAGCTTTTGTCTTGGCCTTGGGTGCAACTTTCGCTGCAGCCTTAGCTTTTGCCTTTGGTTTTGCCTTTGCTTTTGGGGCCTTGCCTGTGGCCGCCTTCGTGGCACCCTTAGGCTCCATGTCTGTCAAAGCTTTGGCCTCTGCTGCCTGTCGCGACCGCTCTTCTTCTAACTCTTCTTCGAGCTCTTTCTGCCTCTGCAGAGCTTCGGCTTTCCGCACACTGGTACCCGTGCCATCAACAGTCTGCGCCCGCTTGAGCACAGACGGTGCCTTCAGCTTCTCCTGACTGACGTCCTCAGTCGAAGCCTTCGGCTTGATTCGGTGGGGAGGGGTCTCAATCAAGGGAACCTCAGACTCTGCAAAGGAAAGCTGTCGATTGACGGCCTTTGTTTTGCTGGCTTGCCAAGCTGTTTTGCCTGTTCCAGTTGGCGTGTTGTTGCCGTTGGGTTTTGTTTTGTTGTTCGAGCTGCTTGTTGTTTCTGCGGGGCTCTCGGCTTTTGGCTTGGCATCCTTTGAAGCATCTTTGGAAGACGGTGGCGGGCTGGTCCGAGCTTTCTTTGCCTCCTTCGCAGACCTGGGTTTATCTGTGTGAATCATATTTATGCAATCGTATAAATGCACTTGCAAGCAGACTGGATGATGTGCATGTACGAAGCACGACAGCAATGCACAAAAAGGTTCCCGCACACTTGTCCGTTTGCCCGTGCTCGTGGTATCTGCGGATGCTTCGGCTCTCCGCTTTCTGTCTTGAGCTTTCAGCAGCACATAACTGATATCCACCATTGCTGACCCACTCAGTCGCAAGGGCAACGTGGGTCTCACGACAAGTAGAACTGGAGCCATCAATCATCGTCACGGAGTATTCACATCGCATGGCTGCGACCCATGGAACTGCAATAGAACACGTAGCTTTTTTTGTGGGATTCACACATGTGTGTTTTCACAGTTTTTCGCCTGCATATCACGGTGTTTCGCCTACATATCACGGGGTTTTCACGCTGGTTTCACGCTGTTCTCACGGGCTCGGTTTGTGTAGGTGATTTCACACGAGGATGCGCTTTGTGAAAGCCCCGTCGATTGTTTTCTTCGCGCTCAAAAACTTCGGTGTTGCAGCAACTCACCACACGACAGCTGTTGCGCAGGCTGCTGTAGATCTACCGTACGAAGCAATATTACACCATGCGAACAATATTGCTTGACAAAGCGAGCCAGCAGCAACAGCCCTACATGAGCTCAAAAGTTGGCTCGAACCTTCCTGCCGCGCGTTCCTTTATCAGGAACGCACGAACGTCCTCCAAGCCCGCATGCTCCCAGGAACGTACAACTTCAGTGGCCCAGGAGTTGTCCTGCGTCGAGAAACAAAACAGGTTGCATTCCGGACTCTGGCAACACCGCATGGCCAACCCTCCCTCTGCCTCTACCAACTTATCCATCCCGGAACGAAGTTCTCCTCGGCTCGTGACCTTGTGCACAAAAAGGTTTGCTTTCTACCCCAGACAACATCCAAAGCACTCAGACCCAGACCATGGTCGTCATGTGATGCCGGGCCACCACCCGCCCGAATTCGGCCGGATACGTCTGGGTCTGCCGCAAGCGAGGACCGCCTTGCCTGGGAAACAGAGCAGGATATGAAATGTTCCAGCACTGGTTTTGTAGACAACCGCACATGGATTCCTAAGTGCAGAACACTTTTTTCTGGCCGTCGATGGGGTGCACCTTCCTCTTGACCACCCCGGCGGAGGAAAGCTTGAGCCTTCGCCTCTCCTTCTTGGTGAGCTTCCGGTAGAGCTTGCCCAACCATGGCCTGAAAAGGTTTGCTCCCACACAAACATACTGTTCAAGTGTTGTACTCAAGCAATGCACACAGACCCACGGGAACCAAATACAATAAAGGTCGCACATAGCGAATGCGTAAGCCCACTGCGGCGTGCCCATAATCATCGTCAATTTGGGACAGAAGTGCCCGTAGAGGCCCATATGACTTGGTGCATGGTGGACAAGGCAAAGGACATTTGCACAGTGTTAAATGATTGCTTACGAATCCAACATCGGCTCTTGGAATCTCAGCCCCAGGCAATCGAACCAAATGAATCGGCACACAATTGGATAAGTAGTTCATCAGGAAAACCATATGAGGAACTTTTGGTAGGAGTGACCCGGCAGGTTGCTCTATAAAGAAATGTACCTCTCGGAACATCGCAACCATGCAGAGCAAAATCGTCCTCGTGGTTAGCCTCGGCTTGGGTCACATCACAAGCATTGCTGTGTCTTGCAACAGGGGTCATGCCCAGCAACAGATGCTACATGCATGGCTCGCGAGACATCTAACATACCTAATGCACATCANNTTGCCGGATGTACTTGTGCCGAAGCGTACCCCAGATGTTTTCTGGAGTTCTGCCGCTCGTCCCCTGGTTGAGGAAAACCCAGGAGCTGCACGGCAGCCCTGCTGCCAGCAACCCCACTGGTTTGATCCGCAGCACCTTCAACGTCGCCCTCATGAATCCCGTCCTGAGCGATCCAATGCACCACTCAAGCACACGTAAATGCTCGTGCCTAGGAAGGTGCGAGCAGGAAAACTGAGGCAGGCTCAGTGTCAACATGTTGTCCTTATCCCTGGCCTTGATGTCAAAGTAGTCCCTGCATGGTGGGTTTGCTGTGTTCGGTTCATGCCTGGTGCAAATTCGGACAAGGGCCGGGCGCTTTCAATCCACGAGCACCTAGCAGCAACAGAAGCTAGCAACAAACACAGCTGAGCAACATGTGACTGTTCAATATACTTCACCAAGATACTGAACCCCGATTCGATGGACCGCTTGCCGCTGAACAAATCGAAACAGAAGAGGTCCTTGGCCAAATGAAATTCAAATCAAACACACCAAAGGAAACTTGCACGACACACAGCACACACACACGCCCATAGGCTCATGCACACACAGAAGCCCATAGTAGTAAGAGCTGGGCACGACGTTCGTTTGCGCCTTCGGCTTGCTGGGCAATGTAGTCCAAAAAGTGCAACCTTACACGAGGAACGTCTTGTCTTCATGGTTCAAACCGGTGTGCTTGAAGACAACCGAGAAAACATGCTTCCTTCATGTTTGGTTCTTCGGGCCGAGAAACATTATAGTAGGGAAACCACACTTCAACAAGGCTTCCACGGTGAGCCTGTGAAGGGCCACGTCTTTCAGCGCCCATGGCTTCTCCATTCTCCGACCCTAGCCCAACCGGACTCTATATTAACATCGATGCTCGGAAGAAACACTTGCCAACGGCGTGGCCCATGAAACTGCAAAGCTGAGAGCCCTCCTCTTGAAGTCGTACGAATTGCGTGTGTCGCTGCACAATGCTTGCCAGCACGACAAGGGACTGTGGTCCGTGATCACCCACCAAGCAAATTCAAAGCACCGAAATTAGTCGAATATTTCTCTGCTGCCTCTGCACACTTCCACGGCATTCAACGGCTGTCTGGAATTCCCGCTTCGCGGGCACGTGTAGCCGCAGCCTGCAATCCCTCCCATTCTGCTGCGTGCAAGGCGTACTTCCACCTGGGCACACAAGCGCTTTCCGGAGCGGGGGTGGCTTTTCAAGAGAATGCTGGGAATCGGGCGCATCGGCAACGGAATTAAAATGGCACCATCCAATCTGCAGACCGCTCTGGGCATTGACCTGGGGACGGAAAAACCACTTATCGAAGCTGATACAAGCAAACAGCAGGTCACTACACACATAGCATGCTCAAATGTTTGTTTGAGGTAGAGACCTCAAATGCGTCCTCCTCGAGATCCAGGGATTTGTTCAAGGACTTGATATTCTTCTTGGAAGCCCCAGAAACATAGAACGACCTTCTCGACCACCTTAGGGCAACCAAAAGATTCTGAAGCCTCGACATGAAACGTTCCTCGTCCCGCGTATTCACTAAGTACTCGGCAAAACACCAATGGTGGCACGAATGCCCTTGTCCCGCAAAGTGAAGCTCCTGTCAGCATCCGAACTTTATGCAAAAGTCATTCCAGGAATTACCAGCTCAGGCTCCGGCTTTTGCCGGGTGAATGTGTCCTCCTCCAGGACCATGCGAGCATCAGTTTCGGCCACTTTCTCCAAGGCCGTTTTCACGTTGATGAACTCCTGACAAACATCGTTGCTGCAAACATCATCGCTAGAGATGTCACCTACCTTTCTAATTTCGGCAAAGAAGCTTCTCACAACATGATTTCAAGTTTGCAGGCACTTATGGAACATTTCTCTGTCCTCCACCGACATCCCTGCGTTTGCTGCTGCCTTTGCATCAACGTCATCTTGCTGATGTTCTGCTGTTTTGTTGCCTTCATTATCATCATCCGCCTCGCCCGGCTGCTCTGTTCGCTCCTGTTTTGCTGGCTTCTGCTTCTTCGTGCACACACTCGAAGTGGATGCTGCAGGTCGCTTCATAGCACCTCCTCCCGAAGCGCTGGATCTGCCTCGGCCTCTCCCTCTGCCCCGGCCTCGCTTACCGGCTTTCTGGCCGTCCTCGTTTGATGGAGCTCCTGCATCATCATCATCATCCCCCTTTTCTTTGCTCGCTCGCAGAGCTGCTCGAACTTTGCTTTGCGCCTGAGCATTGCAACCATAGTCTTGAAAGCCACAACAACAACGACAACAACAACAACAACAACAACAACAAACCTATCAGAGGACTCTCCTTAAAAATGGCCTGGATGGCAAGCGTCGCACTGTCCTTCATCGAGTCTCGTAGCTGTGCTTCGGCTGCTTCGTGAATCTTCTCAGGGAGCTTGGGAACGTGAGCCGCCAATGGCTTCTCGTCCTGAAGGGGAAAATTGTCAATACCGTTGACAACAACGGAAGCTCCACAGTACCGCAATCCTTAAAGGTACCTTTCTCCGCATCCTCTTGCCGTTCGCTTTCAATGCTTTGGCCTTCCTCATCCACGCATTCATCCTCCTCCCGTTCCTCTTCTTCTCCTCCTTCGCCGTCCTCTGCCTAGTCCAAAGCACAAAATTTGCTCTGTTGAAACACTTCGCAAGAAGACCGAGAATGGATTGCACATCAATGCAAGGCTAGCCTCATCCCCATCAGCTGGTACTTCTGCCAAGTCTTTCGCCTGCCAGCAGAAAATTGCCTGCCAAGTTTGCGATGTTGCAACTTCCATGCCTCGGTTTCAGCGTCATCGCCTTCTCCAGCCGTGGGCTCCTGCAGCACACAAACAAATTAGCACTTGCAATATGAACTGGCTGATATCCTTTGCCACTGCACGTGCTTCTCTGATGGCACTCTTGAGCATCAGCATTTTGTCTTTGTTTTGCTTGCTCCTGGCAGATTGCATTTGCAGATCAACGAACCTAAAGCAACAAAGGGACCCTGCCTCACACCCCCGGTTCGGCCAGCTCTCTCACAAGCCCAAGAGGCGAAAGCTCTTTGAATCGCACTTTCGGTGTCCAGCCAAGCCTGCAATGCTAATTGAAAGCACAGCTCCTACTTCTCACACAGTTTCCACGACGTGTGCTCTATTAAATGCTAACAGTTCTTCGAAGTGCCTCCCGGTCGATCTTGTTCGCATCGGGGTGCAATCGAAATTCGCGGTCGGCCCACTCCAAAGCAGCCTGTGCCCGCTGCAGGAATTCAGAAACACCATGATGTGTTACGAGCTTTTGTGGGACTTACACTATGACATGCCGCCTGCCTGTACCTCTTTCTTTGTCGGCAGCTTCTTCGCAAACGTAGTCGTGTAGTGCAGGATGAAGGTGAAATTGCAATCCACACAGGCCTCCATCGCAAAAACACTTTAAGCAACTAACTTCAGACACAGAACGAAACGAATTTTGCGCTCCTGGTCCTCAGTAACCTCTTTGTCTTCGACGTCCATGAACGAAAAGAAGACTCCCTGACAGAGTCCAGTGTAATTGGAAAACGACCCATCCGCCTCGAACTTCGCAAAAGCATCCCACCTTGTTCTTCCCTGCTCTCTTTCGGAGCACCGCGAACCGTTCGTTCACGTAACCCGGCTTGCAAAAGTCCCGGTAGAGTTCCTGCAGTGCATGTAAGGAGCACGTTCTCAGTCAGACAATCAATTCCCAGTCCTTCAAAAGGTTGACCTGTGCCGCATTGGGCTTCGAATCCGGCATGCTAACTATAACCGTTTAAGTCTAAAGCCGCAGACAGATCCCAAAGTATGCCAGCTCTCACACACGAAGGCCCAACAAACGAACCTCAGCCAACCCGTTTGTGGAAAAATCGGCCCTTACGTGCATATCAAAACTCGTTCGGAGCCGACTGCAGCGATGCCCGCAGATGCGCATGATGTGATCATGAAAGGCTTCAGCGAAAGAGCAGCCCAGCACAATGGAAGCGAGGGGGGGCACCCGAAGAAAATGACGATATGGATTCCAGGCCTTGGCAGCGGGACTTGACCCTGACCGCAGAAGGACCACTCAAGAAACAGAGCGATCTTGGGCAAAGGCGGTCTGCGAACGCTCTTGGCGCTCGCACTGGCATGAGAACCTTGCAGCGAGCAATTTCAACGACACGGTCCACATAGTCGGCACCCATCGAGCTGGAAGGAAGCTTAGGGCCCAGCGAAGCACAGCAGAGCTCGACCCACGAGGCGCATGAGTACATGTACACAGCCACAAGACCAAAAGTCTACAGCAGTCGTTCCGCCTAATCTGTTGTCA